ACCACTTCTTTAAATTCAGCAAAATCAAATACTATTATCGCAAACTTTTATATACATCCACATAGATTTAATGACACTCATAGAAAATTTATCCAAGAGCTTCTGGAGACCTACAATCAACAACCTATTATACTATGTGGTGACTTTAATTCTAGACACCCAGTCTGGTTTGATCCGACAACAAACTCCAATGGTTTCAAATTCCACTCCATCATAGATGAACATAACCTATTTATTCATAATCTTAAGATACCCACCTGCCGAAATTCTAGCTTTATAGATCTTACGATTTCAAACAAAAAATCAATAGGTTTGGTACAAAACTGGAAGACGACTATATTGACGCACATTTCAGATCACGTAGCAATAACCTTTGACATTTATCACAATTTTAACAGGCAAAGGACAGTTCAAAACTCAACATGGAAATTTATAGAAAAAGATGCTGATTGGAAAACATTTACCGAAAAAATAGCAATACAAGACGTAGATAATATTATCACCATGATAAACCACGCGTCAAACATCAAAGATATTGACAACATTGTAAAGACTCTCACACAAATAATTAAAGAGGCAGCTTATCTGTCACTAAATGTCAAGACAAGAAGCGGAAATCATAAAACAAATACATACTGGTGGGATGGGAAGCTGGAGAAAATGAAAAACGATTTCCACTATATTAGAAATTTGTATTACCGACATGGAAAGGTCCTTGAAAAGACCTATAAATCAATGAGAAATAAATATTTAAATAAAAGTAAAAAGGCAAAAAGAGCGAGTTGGAGAATTTTTATAGAAGAAAGTCATTCAAATAACTCATTTGGTAATGCTTATAGGATATTCAAGTCATTGAGATCGAAAAATAGAAATTTAGGATTACCACTAATAGATAATTTACCAGATCATTTAAAGACCGACAAAATAAAAAGTTTAATGAACGATCTATTTCAGGATGATATTGGAGGTTTGGATAAAGATGATCATATTTTGATTAGAAATTATACGCCTAAATATAAAAATAAAAGTAGTGTTTATATCGAATCTAAGGAAATAGAGGAAACAATTTTAAAAACAAATATTAAAAAAGCACCGGGCCCTGATTACATTAGTAACAATATTGTAACATAGTATGTATTAATTTAATTTATGTAACATAGTATTTCTTAATTTTATTTTTTTTTATTTAACAGAGTGGTCATTTTTATTTTTATATCTGGCGACTCTGTAAATTTCCCTCTTGGCTTATCTTTTGTTTACCGTTCTTAGTTCGTCCTTCCCTGAAATAAATTTTGTTTCCTCCTGAAGTTTTTGTCTTCCCTAATTTTCCACGTGGCATTTTGGTGGAGATGCTGGGTAAGTTAGGGAAGACAAACTGAAGATCGCCGAGAAGACCTTGAAGCCATGGGTGCTGTGATCTACATTTTCGGAGACTGACATCAGGATTCCACCGCCGTGCTAAAGCCAAGACTTCCTTCGAATATGACGATGTCCCTATAGACGATACGACGACAAAGCCGCTCTTCACGCCGCAAGAAAATGGACGCAAAGGTACTAGGGACAAAGTTCCAAGACTTCGATGGAATCCTTGGCAGAAGCACGTCAAATCCACGTCAGTATCTACAATAATTGCTAGCTGTGGGTCACAGCTCCCATAGGGAAGAAGCTATGTAACATAGTATGTATTAATTTAATTTATGTAACATAGTATTTCTTAATTTTATTTTTTTTTATTTAACAGAGTGGTCATTTTTATTTTTATATCTGGCGACTCTGTAAATTTCCCTCTTGGCTTATCTTTTGTTTACCGTTCTTAGTTCGTCCTTCCCTGAAATAAATTTTGTTTCCTCCTGAAGTTTTTGTCTTCCCTAATTTTCCACGTGGCAATATGATTAGACAGGCTAAAATAAAAATAATCCCAATTCTGCATAAATTATTCAATAAATGTATAGAAATGGGATATTATCCGGATGAATGGAAAAAATCACTCTTAAAAATAATTCCAAAACCAGGCAAAACGAATTATGAAATAAATAAAAGTTATAGACCTATATCATTGACATCTAATCTATCTAAAACATTTGAGAATATAATAAAAAATAAATTAAGTAACTATTATTTAGAGAATAATTTAATGAGCTCAAGGCAGCATGGTTTTATGAAATCTAGATCAACAATTACTGGAATGGATAATTTATAGAAACTATATTGAAACATAAACAAAAAGAATTGACTTCCTTGATAGCTATAGATATTGCGGGTGCATTCGACAATGCATGGTGGCCTGCTATTATAAAAAGAATGGATAATGATGATGTTCCTTCAGATTTAATACGGATCATAAAATCTTATTTGAATAATGAAAGGGAGGTGAAATTTACATACGAATCAGAAACTTTTTATAAGAAACTAACTAAAGGATGTCCACAGGGTGGACCTTTATCTCCACTTCTATGGAATATTTTGCTAAATGATTTGTTGATAAATTTTGATTCAATGAATGCAGATATTATATGTTATGCAGACGACGTTACAATAATTTGCTGGAATAAGACTATTGAAGGACTAAAAACCGCAAGTGAATACACCTTAAATTATGTGATCCAATGGTGTAATAGAAATAAATTAACGATCAGTACAGAGAAGACTAATATGCTATACCTACATAACAGACAAAAAAATACCTATTAAGGTTAATAACAATATAATAATGCCGGTCAAGCAAGTAAAAATTCTGGGAATGAAATTTTCTAATCACAAATGGAAAAACAAAGTTAACTTTACACCGCATGTTAATGATATTCTGTGTAAGGCAGGACGTATGAAAAATTTATTATGTTCACTAAGTGGCAATATGTGGGGTTTAGACACTGAAAAGAGGTTAACTTTATTCAAAACAATCATTAGGCCTGTACTTACATACGGTTCTGAAATTTGGTTCAAATATTTAAACAATCGTTGTAAACAAAAACTGAACTCCATGCAGTACCAGATCATTTTATGGGCAGTTAGAGCATACAAAACCACTTCATCAAACTGTGTGCATAGCTTGGCAAAAATTCAACTCCTAACAGATTATATAGAATCCAGAATAATCAAATTTGATCTAGCTCAAATGTCCATTGAAGATCTAATTACTTACGAACCCCATGCTCCAAGTATAGTCAAATCATTCTTACACGCAAAAATGAATGAAATTTTTGAGAACACTAATGAAATTTTCAGAAGCTTTTTCGTATTAGGAATTCCAAGATTTTTCCGTCCAAATTTTTATAATATCCAATTCATTACAGATCATGGCAATTTTGGGAAATTTTTGGCAACTATCGGCGCCGTGAAGGAACCAGGATGCTTCTGCGGAGGTGAAATTCAAGACGCGAGACATCTACTTCTGGAGTGCCCAATTTTCCGGGATTTTAGGGAAAATAGATTTGGTCGTATTGGACAGCTTGATGAATTTGTAGACAAAAAAGAAAAGTATAAAAATTTTGATCAATTTTGTAAATACATATACAACTTTCTCTTGAATTGGAAAAAAGAGAAGGAATCTTAGAAAAAAAAAAGAACTGCGATGCTTGCTCTGTGTGTTTTGCTTTGTTGTTTGTTTTTCTCTTTGGACAATTTTCTTTAGTTAATTTATGTAAAATAATGAATTGAACAGGATTGTATATAGCCGAATTGCTGTAATGCAGTGAAATGTATTGGCGCAAATATCCCTGAGTTTGGGATATCGCGTTTCATGATGTTAATAAAGTTAATTACTCTTCACAATTCATCCTTTCATACTTCATTCCTAAGGTTAGAGAAATAATTGTTATTTCTCCTTAAAATAAATTTTGATTTTTCGTTCAAAAGAAACACATGCGGGATATTTTCAAATGTCGTTCTACAATCATAAGCCGCATTATATTGTATTATAATTCTAATATCAATAATTGTTAACGCCTTGCCAAATGTTTTAATTTTTGTTCCCTCCTCACGAGGACAAAAGATTTTTGTCTAAACGTCGAGACAATAAAAAAGATTTACTGGCCGAAGTATCTTTAATTATAAGAAAAATAATTCTAAGTTCGGATAATCACCATTTTGAATAACTTTGTATAGTAGAAACTTCTGTGAAGAATTTTTAAAATACAAAAATCTCTGTTTCAGTTCACACAGTATTCTGTTAGATGAATCAATAGGGTAAAACGTCAAGTTTATAGCTATTTCAACATATACACGGGAAGGGAAAACAGCAATAACATCTTAAATCTAAAGGAAAACCCCATTTGCTAAATGTTTTCCCTAACGTAAAACGTAAAGAAAAATTCTACCCAGTACATTCTCTTTAAAATAATATTTTATATGTGAAAGAAACTCAAATACGCTAAATGCTTCTAAATAAATTCAATAGATAAAGTGGAGTGCAGCCCCGCCAACTAGTGTTAGAAAATTGGATTATTCCATCAAAATGCAGTTTTTCCCAGGAAAAAAAATAAAAATTTGCTCGGGTTCTCTTAGAATTCGAGCGTTGTTTCTAGGAAAACGGCTTTTTACTGCTTGATTGAGTTGATTTTTCTGACATCTTTTGGCCCACGTTCTTTTCTACTAAGGCTACTTCTTCAAGAAGGATCATAGAAACTAAATCACATGATGATATATGGATATAGATTTATTTTATTTTTCATCATCAAATCAGACGTGATATCACCACAAGGGATGCTTGCGTCAAGCAACAACACTAAATTCAGAGAACTATTTTACATAAACAATTAAAAACAAAGTAAAACAACAAAACAAACAATGAAATAAATACAAATATAAACATAGTTAGCAATTAAGGTTTTTTTTTTCCAAGAGATAAAATCATAGATATGTAAAATGACGTTTGACAAGTTTTACCGCAAATGTTTCTTTTGAACGAAAATTTTAAAGAAAAAAAAAACGACTATTTCTATCCTTAGGGATTAAATATGAAAGGATGAATTGTGAAGATTAATGATAAACGGAAAAATAAAGTGTCCAGTGGTGAGAATCGAACCCACAGTGTTCTGCTTACCGGGCAGATGTCATGTCCACTAGGCTTATTATTTTTCCGTTCATCATTACTCTTCACAATTCATCCTTTCATACTTCATCCCTAAGGATAGAAATAGGCGTTATTTCTCCTTAAAGTAAAATAAGATTTTTCGTTCAAAATAAACATTTGCGGTAAAACTTATCAAACGTCGTTTTGCAATCATAAGCCGCATTATATTGTATTATTAAAAATCATAGATATATTTACAGAAATATGGATATAAATAGTGAGAATATTATTTGCATAACTCTTATTTGCATAGTTTTTTATTGTTATAGCGTCTTATCTATTGGTAGAAAAAATATAGTATGCAAATTTACATAAGAATTCATTTTTTTTAGATAAAAGAACACATTTATTTTTGATGGCCTATTCCCATTTAGCGAATAAAAATACCAACCAATGATATCAATAACACCACAGCTTTATTAAGACCACCGGTCTTATACAGATTCACCACAGGAAGAAAGGAAGCATAGATAGAGCTCCTGTACTCCAGGCAGTGCAGAACCCAACAACAGCCTCCAGGTCCGACGCATGTCTAGTGGCCACACCGTACTACGTCGAGATTAGCGAATCACTGAACAGGCTAGTGTGGAATCAGCCGCGTTCTAGTCTTCGCTTTCCTCGTCCAAATGGACAACGACATTCGGCGATTCTATTACCATTTGATGATATCCATTCGACACACAAAAGATATATTGTTGCACCAAGTTGCAGCTTTGCAGGGTAGTCGACCTTGGTTTCCTCTTTCCTGGTGTTATACACGTTTCCCGAGCGGGTTTCCATACTCTAAGCAAATAAAGAAAAGTAAATTACCTTTTAAAGTTATTGTGTTTATTTATTCGTTTTCTTCCTCGTAGATCGTGATCCTCAGTCTACGTCTAGGTCTTTTCTCGCTCCATTAATCAATCAAGATATACAAGGTATGTCCCATAAGTTCCCAGACTGGGTCCATAAAAAAAATGAAAAATGTAAATAAATTTGACTGTTCATTATTGAAAAAATATCTGGCAACACGGTGGTACTAATATCGAGGCGGTACGTGCGCGCGCGCCAAGGTCATTCTAATTTATTTAAAGGTTACACCTAGCGCTGCGGCGATTTTACGATGGAACAATATTTAAAACAGAGGATTTGCATAGAATTTTGTGTGAAACTTCAAATATCAGCAACCGAAACTTTTGAAATGCTTAATAAAGCATTCCCAATGACGCCCTAAAGAGAACAACTGTTTTTGAATGGCATTCTAGATTTAAAGCTGGCAGAATTTCCATTGAAGATGATCCTCGTCCAGGACGCCCAAAATTTCAAAGGACTGACGAAAATGTGCAAAAAATCACCGATTTGATAAAATAAAATTCTTGAACCACTTTGCTGGAGCTAGATCAAGACACAGGCATCTTTAAAACAACGATTGGAAGGATCGTAATCGAAGATTTGAAGCTCAAAAAGACTCCTGCAAAATTCATCCCAAGATTCCTCACTAATGAGCAAAAACTGTGTCGGATTGCAACCTGTACCTGTGAGGACATGTTGGAAATGACAATAACGGATCCGGAATGGAAAGCCAAGATAATCACAGGCGACGAGACATGGGTCTATGGCTATGACCCTGAAACCAAGCGTCAATCTGCCGAGTGGAGAGGTCAGGGTGAGCCTAGACCCAAAAAATCCAGGATATTGAAATCCAGAAACAAGGTGTTGCTGGTCGCCTTTCTGGATAACAAGGGCATTGTTCATCACGAGTATCTTCCTGCAGGCCAGTTATTAAGGAAATGTATTTGGGTATTCTTCGCCGTCTAAGGGAAGCGATTCGAAAAAAAGGCCAGAAAAATGGACTAATGGTGACTGGATCCTACACCATGACAATACCCGCCCTCACACAGCGCACTTGGTGACGAGTTTTTTTGGCGAAAAAAGGGAAAGAAATCCTACCTCAACCACCCTATTCCCCAGACATCGCACCAAATGACTTTTTCCTGTTCCCCAAACTTAAAGCAGTTTTTAAAAGGAAGACATTTTGACACCAGGGATGACATAATAGAAAAATCGCCGTTGGCATTGAAGAGCATTCCAAAAGAGGCCTATAAAAACTGTTTCGACAATTGGGAGAAACGATGGCGCTGGTGCGTTTAAGCAAGGGGGAATTACTTTGAAAGTTTTAATAAATTTTAAAAATATATATCTTACCTTTTTTTTACGGACCTAGTCCGGGAACTTATGGGACATACCTTGTATATACAATAACAATATTACAAAATGAATGAAACTTAAAAAAAGAGTGGTACCCTTGTAATATAATCTGTTTTTAATAAATATTAAATATCATAGAATATTTTGAATAAATGTAGGGCGCATTTAAATTTATGCTACAATATAAATATTCCAGAGGTTTATAATATATTTGTATATAGCACAAAAATATATAGCATTATTTATTTTATAAAACACTTCTAGATGAATAATTGTTTTAATTTGTTGAATTGGTATATAAAAGGAAAAATCATTAAATATATTACCTCATAATACAAACACGGGATAAAAATGATAAAAAAGTTTCCATACACATTTTAAAACGTGAAAAATAATAAAAAAAGGATAGGTGTTTGTTATTAAATCAAAAAAGGCATATCCTGACCACGTTCACATGAACTTTTAGATGGCAGAGCTCCATCTAAGATATGTAAATAATACAAGATATAAATGTTACGATGTACTAAAGCGCCATCTGTTATCAAATTATAAAACTATTTTAGAGGCGTAATATTCTTTTTAAAATAAAACAATTTCTACTGTCCTTACTGCGATGGAAAAATTAAAGGGAGGGCCTGGCTCATCAGTGGTGAACCCTCCCAGCGGTTTCGCCAGTTTAATCTACCATACCGCTGTTATATTGCATTTTTGGAACTTCCTTTTATAGTTCTAATTTTATAATTCTAATTCATTATTGTTCTAATAAAAGACACATTTTGATATTTGCGGAAGAGCGATTGCTCGAAGCATATTATATATTTATAATCATATTTAATTCTGCTGTCCTAAAAGCTTATGTCCATAGTTCTTCTAAAATACCCATTACAAGAGTCTTACAACAGTCACCTATAAAAGGAAGTTCCAAAAATGCAATATAACAGCGGTATGGTAGATTAAACTGGCGAAACCGCTGGGAGGGTTCACCACTGATGAGCCAGGCCCTCCCTTTAATTTTTCCATCGCAGTAAGGACAGTAGAAATTGTTTTATTTTAAAAAGAATATTACGCCTCTAAAATAATTTTATAACAAGATATAAATAATAGTTAAATATTAAGATTTATTTTGTCATATACTCCTGTAGAAGGGTTTAAAATATCCGAAAGCTTGAGAGAATATATAAATAAAGTAAGAAATTTATTCTCGTAGGCCTTTTTTTATTGTTGCTTACATTTCAAAGGTTTCTATCTTTGATGAGTCTTGAATTTTTTTTTTTGAAAATTTATAAACCAAGAACGTGTTAGGTTAGAGTCTGACATGATTAAACCTTCCTATAAATATTTGCAACGCTACAGTGTTAAAACTATATCTGAATAAGCTATGTAAATATGGAGTTACGATTTTATCATTATTATCAATCATTATTATAATCGGAGTGGTTTTCGTCCTCCCATATAAATAATATGGCTGAATTTGAAATGAAGAGATAATTCTGAAAACTATTTAGTGTGTGGGTTTGAAAATAACTTCAATTATCATTTTAAGGACCATTTTAATATATGAAAATAGGGTAGTCAAAAATAAAATAAGTACAGTCGAACCTGGATATTTCGAAGCCCAAAGGACCAAAAAAAATCGAATTATCCAAAAATTCGAATTATAAACGGAAATTCTATTTATAGGAAATTCTAGGGACCAAGATAAATATTAGAATTAAAGACGTTTTTGAATTATCCAAGTTCTACTGTATATTAACATAGTCGTAATCCAGTATAGTGGCATGAGAATTGGTCTCCAAAATCCATTTTGGTTAAGACAAAGAAGAATATGTGTGTCACACAAATTTAAACTTAAAAAAATAATAATAAAAAAATATATTAAGCGTTTAATATTGTGTACTGGGTTCGGGGGGTGAGTGGTATACACTGTCAGTTTTCGACAGCTACGACCCGCGATCGAATCCTGCATTGGGTACTTTTTTTATGAATAAATAAATTGCTCTAATGGCTACCCATTCTTGTATAAGTCCAACCCCACCAGTGAGTGCAAGTAACCAAATGGTTTCTTTGTCCATCAAATCAGGGGTATCCTTTCTTACTTTACACTCGTGAATGTCCTAACTTGGTCTCTAACAAGAAACCTTATGGGAAAAGAAGATCTCGACTTATTTTGGCACACTTTGATGGTCTTGGTTCGACTTCAAGGTTTTTCCAGCAAAGGCATTCTTTCTTGACACTCATGAAAGTCTTGGCCTCTAACAAGAAGACCTTATGGGCAAAGAGGATCTCCACTTGTTTTTTTAGCACACTTTGATGTATTTTATTTGACTTCAATGCCCCCCTCTTTGTCCATAAAATCAGGAACATCCTTTCTTTCTTGATACTCATGAAAGTCCTAACTTAAGCTCTAACAAGAAGACCTTATGGGCAAAGAGGATCTCCACTTGTTTTTTAGCACACTTTGATGGCTTTTATTTGACTTCAATGCCCCCCTCTTTGTCCATCAAATCAGGAACATCCTTTCTTTCTTGATACTCATGAAAGTCCTAACTTAAGCTCTAACAAGAAGACCTTATGGGCAAAGGGGATCTCCGCTTTTTAGCACACTTTGATGGCCTTGGTTTGACTTCAAGGTTTTTCCAGCAAATCAGAGACATTATTTCTTTCTTGACACTCATTAAAGTCTTAGCCTCTAACAAGAAGACCTTATGGGTAAAGCCGATCTCCACTTGTTTTTAGCACACTTTGATGGCCTTGGTTTGACTTCAAGGTCATTTTCCGCTTATAGCTGATTATTTAGATGGGAGAATATGTTGA